CAGCTTTTTTTTTTTTTTTTTTTTTTTTTTTTTTTTTTTTTTACACACACACACTCCTTATATAGCGTTTTCCCACTGTAGACTCAAATGCTTCATACAACCCATGGCTAACATACATTCCATATTGGGGTGAAATACAGCAATTCTTCAACAGCATGAAGTATCATCACACATTCTTTTAAAGCAGGAAGTGAACAATAAATCCCACTGGCATTCCAGAAGCTATTTAGGCCAGCAGACTGCAATGACTTTTTAGCCTAGAGACATTGGAGCAAAAATCTCAACTCTTGTAAAAGTGACCTTGAGGTTTGCCATGACCTCCATCTGCCAAGTTTTAAAGTTCCCTCTGCTAAAGGGCATGTCCAGAAGCACAGTGTCCTGTGATGCTAGGCAGCACACTGATGTGGGAACAATTCAGACACAAAAATGCTGTCTACTCCCTAAACAACACGTCATAAGTGCTTCTTAGAAGTCTCATTCAAGTCATAACTAAGGCTGCCTCTGTTGACCTACTGAAAAGTGGCAAGAACAGACCACAAGGTACATTGTTTTAAATGTAAAACTGCCCCTTTACCAAGCAATTGCCTAGCTCTTAAGATCTAGTCCCTCTCCATTCTCAAGTCTCAGGTCCTACGCCCACCCAAAAAGCTCATCCCTATAATAATCTCAGCCCTACCCCCACACTTGCACACATGCTTGCCTTAAGGCACCATGAGTACTATTCTATTGGGACAGATCACACACTTAAAATTAGAAAGCATAAAAATGTTGGTGGGGACTTGGGCCTTTAGTGTTATTCCTAGTAGTGTAGGTGACAGAGTTTCAGCAAGAAGTCCCATTTTCAGTCTGACAGCATCCTTTAAATCAAGGGTGTCAGACATATGGTCTGTAGGGCTAGGTTGGACCTAGGAATTTGTAAGCAGGGCCTGGCGCACAATTCAGGGCTATGGGACCCTGTTAGGGACACCCTTTGGAGGAAGGCAAGCAATGGCTGTGCTAGTACAGCACCACTCGCCCCACCACTGACACTTACCCTGCCTCTGTCAGGTCCAGATCTGGCCAGCAAAGAGCCCCATGGTCCAGATCCAACCTGGGAGACCAGGGATGTTTGACACTCCTGCTTTAAATAAAACAGCCAGCAGATTAGTTTTCAATTGCTGCTTCTCTCTTGCGTGGTCACTTCACAGAACCCCCATTTTTTGGATGAATGGAGAATTGTGATAAAATGCTAGAGTTAAG